CCCCAAAACCCCAAAACCCCAAAACCCCATTGCAGGTTTACTTTTTACAAGTGATATTGATTTGAATAAAAATAAAAAAGTTAAAAAATACTATTATATATGGGTATTAATAACATAGGTAAATCTTGCAATATAATGAAAGAAATTTGTGAGTAAACTTAATATAAATTAGAAATGGCCCATATTTGAACCTTATAATATGATTCTGGTATAAAATTTTTGAGAATTACACTAGAAGCAAATAGTCAAATAATGTACTTAGGTGTCATATCTATCATCAATAAAGCGGTAGTGTTCTCCTTTTTTACTTTCTGTTATTCTGAGATCTATATCGTTTGTCTCTCTGATTATTTTATTTTTCTTTGTGGTTGATAACTCTTAATGTATTAGAACAGTTGGACATGTAGTCTGAAACAGAATTATTTGTATTATTAATGTCATCCTCTTCATCATTGAGATATTCCAAAGCTCTTTCGATTTTGGATGATTAGTGTTATATAAATTTCTGGCTTTGAGAAAGCCTTGAACTTGAATGTTCGGAGCCAGAAGGAGTTTAAAAAAGTGAGATATAATTCTTAACCTCTTTCACAGAAAACTTTTGACGATTTGGTACAACTTCAATGTGAAATGTATTATTGAGATATTTTTTTGTTTTTTTATCACTCATAGTCTCATCATTCTCAACAAATGAGCCATTATTTTGCTTAGTGAGTAAATCAACATTTATCTCTAATTACTCTAATGAATCCTCGTCCATGTATTTATTAGGATTTTTGTCTGTTGCTACACCCTCTACTAAGCTATCTTAGAAGTTTATATTTTCAATATTATTGTGTTCCTTTAGATAATGATTCTTTTTATTTTATTTCATTTTTGGATCCTAAGAGGTGTCCATGAATAAGTTTTTATTTCTCTGGTAATTTTTTTCGAATGTAATTTTCTTATTGCCATGTTTCATCAGGGATCCAATTTGATTTCGAGGGCTGGATTGTCTACTGGAGCTATGACTACTAGCATATAAATGCTTCGAACTTGTCCTTTTTTGATTTTGTTAGAAGGTAGACTCGTAGTCCCTATTAGACAAGGTCTCCTCCTCTACTTTAGCAGGCTCTGCAAACAAGCTTGCTTCTAATCGATTTTGATTGACATATTTATAACTATATGGTGATTTTATTAGAATCTAGGCTGTTTTGGTTGTCAGTACTTCTTTAGGAATTGTTTTTTATTTTTTCTGCTTTTTCTTGAGGTGCTTCATATCACTTGCAACTATTTAATTTATTTGCATATCGATTCTGAGTTACTCCTTGCCGCTCTAATTATGTGTTTATACTGATCTCGAAGATTCCTTTGTAAGTGCGAAAGGTGGAATCTTAGATTGAGCAGTTTTGACTGTATTTTTAGACGGAGAAGAAGGAAGTCCATGTTTTAAATTGCTATTAATATCATAATTTGGTATAATTTAGCAGGATTCTACTGTTTTTGTACCTTTTAAGGATTAACAGCCCATTTTAATAATCTAATTACAATCATCTTCAAATATTTTGAATTATACTGTACGGGGTTTTGGGGTTTTGGGGTTTTGGGGAGATCGGA